TTAATGATGTGTTTCTGAGTCATATTACACACACTGATGAACCACTTATGTACACACACACATCATAATTGTTGGCACCTTATAAAGTTATATTATGGATTTCTTGGAGTGAAAAGAAATAAATCCTGTTTTGTTCTTCTATTTTTATGACCCTTTTTACAGCCATGGAAAGCGTCACACATCTAATCCTACTCGCAGGTCAGTGTTGCTCCAGATATGTCTGAAAACTTGTGTCAGTTTGTTGTCTGTCTGCTTGTCTGAAGAACTACCACCAATGAAACTTTCCTCACCTTATGGCTTCTCTTCCACAGGCCTGTGTTCGCTATGTTTGTGTGTCTCTGCACATTACTACGTCATGTTCAATACTCCAAAAACCTGGTTGGAGGCACAGAGCTTCTGCAGAGAGAAATGTCTGGACCTGACCACCATCAACAACATGACAGAGATGGATGCAGTTCTTAAAGCTGTCGGGGGCAAATACGATGACGCTTTGTGGTTCGGGCTTTGGCAAGGGGTAGAATTCAGAACACACTGGTCTCTTGTAGACACAGATTTCTCTGACATAGCCGAAGGCTTCAGTCAACATTGGGCCGTGTGGGCCAGAGACAGCTGTGTTGTTTTCAAAGACAAGCTGTTGCATTCACAAAGCTGTACCGAGATCTATCACTCTGCTTGCTTTGATGGTGAGAGACTTGCTCATGAACGTCATATGTTCAAATTTTCAATTTACAGTCATAAGTAGCATCATTTTATTATTATATCAGCTTTTACATCCTCATTAGCCACTTTATAACAAAAATAATACTCACTCTGTTGAGCACTTTTTGAAAATAACAGAGAAAATACATTAGCTTTTATATCAAGGACTGAAAAAATAACACAACTATTTTTTTTTTTTCTGTTTAGCAACAAAACAAGGAGCTGACCAGTACATTACTGCAGGAATGATGAATTGGCTTGAAGGTCAGGAATACTGCAGAACCAACCACACAGACCTGACCAATATCAGGAGTGAAGCAGAGCTTCAGTTCATTTCTGCACTAGCCGGTAGCGGGTCAGTGTGGGTTGGCGGCTTCACTGACAGATGGGAGTGGTCAGACCAGAGCACCTCCTCATTCAGATACTGGCGATCAAACGAGAAGTTTTGGGGTTCGGATGGTGGAGAATGTGGTGTCTTGACGAAGAATGGTAGATGGGGAAGACTGTCGTGTTCAGAGAAACGCCCGTTCCTCTGTACCTGCAAGGACCCAGGTGCTGCATCGTTTAAATCCCTCTGCTTTTAAATGTGTGGTGATAAACACATCGACAAGTGAGCTTAATTCTTTGTTCACGTGTGTTTGTTTCTCCTCATGGCAGCAATCAAACCGAAGGTCGTTAAAGTGAGGATCAACCTCCAGGACTCATCGCTGGATCCAAATGACCCTTCAGTACAAGACAAAATCTTGGAGCAAGTAAGTCTTGCTTGTATTTGTATCAAGTCTGCTGTTCAGAGAATAGAGATTCTGATTACTACTGGTTATTACTAATCTACTGAACCTACGTAAAACAATGCTTTCCTGATTTAAATGTAGGTGGTCAACTCTTGCCTCTATTTGTAAGAATACGAAATAATGCAGAGAAGCAACAATTTGCAGCAAGAAGGCAGAATAACTGGAAAGGAAATGTGAAGCAGTCTGTTCTCTGCAGCACATGTTTCAGCTCTTTAAGTTTACAGTCAGAGGACCCTGTTTGGAGGTCTTTGAACTGATGCTTTGGTTGCATCAGGAGCTTTCTAGAGATTCTAAAGTCCCAATTAAATCT